TTACGGTTATGTGGATGTAGTGCTGATTGATTTGTACACAAAGAACTTTGCAACATATTTTGAAGGACAGATTTCAAAAAAACAAATTTTCATATAACTTTTCTCTGATCACATCAACAATTTGACAAATAATTGTTCGTGAATTGTTTACATCATGTTGTTAAAGTATAAAATGGTTTACAATCGCCTCTGGTTCTATGTTTGAGACGTGTTTGGAGGGTTGCGTATGAAGAGGATGCTCTCACTCTGACACGAAGGTATTCTCCATTTCTTCTTGGGCGTTCAGGTGTTTGTTCACAATAATATTAGTGAGTTGACTTGGCGAAAGCCCACATGTCCTACCAACAGCCCTCAATGCTCACCAACACCCACTAGAGCCTCTAATTAGCGCAACAGGGAGGTTTAAGTAAGGTTTACAAGGACTGATAAGAATTAACGAACTGTTAAAGGAGATCTTCTTGCCCTCTTTACGCTGATGATTAGACGAAATATCCTTTGGGTAATTACATTGGTCTGGGTAGAGCAGGAGTGATTAGAGGGAAGTCATAGGTGTGGGAATAAGATAAATTTAAACGTCTGAATAGTAAATTATGAGGACGATTAATTTTTTCACACTTCCGTCCTCACTAACTTCTCCAGACCTGTCAGTTGTAAACATTAGAAAGATCAAATGAGAGAAGTCAGAGGGAGTTCGAAGAAAGCCATTCCATGCAGAAACAAGAATTCATTTTGTCTGCTAAATTTGAGTCAATGAAAGGCGAAGTGGAAGTGTTCATGAGTAGAATAATAAATACCAAGCAGAAGACAGACAAGATTCTCACGAGAGAAGGTACAGAATCCATGGAGTATTTCAAGTCAGGCGAATGCCATATAACCACTAGACCTGACACTCAGATACTGAATAATTTAAACCATGTCGAAGAAATGAGCACCTCACTAGTTCACTGTTTCCACTTTGGATTTGCGTTTCTCAGTAAATAATTATTTGAATAGGGCTATGGAGTGCCAAATTGTTAAGTCGCCGAAGTCTCTCGCCGAAGTATGCCTAACCATGAGTGTTCAATCCAGTCATTCGGTCAATATGTATGAGCAGATTGTTCTTCTATGTTCTTCTTTGTCAACGTAAGACTGACTATTTCATTTATGCAATGAATGCCCGATTACTTTCGTAGATATCGTATGACTAGAGTCAGTCGGAAATGACGTAAAAGATATGTGCACTTATGTTGACAACATTGAAGGTAGGAATTATGAATGAATTATGAACGCTCAATCGTGTCATTTACTTGTTTAATCACACTCGATCTCATATTTCTAATGACTGCATATTCCAGCTACAATAAAGTGACAATCCGATTAAATGTCAATCTTTCGCGTAATACTAGCGCACTCAGCACACTGTCTGATGGAATTTCGAATTGTCTACACGGAATATTGTATTCTGACATTCGTGCAATGTTACCGTGGAGCCTCGTGAATAGTTTATTAATAGGAATTTACGTGAAACATTCCTGCTGACAATATGCCAAAATGTGTTTAGTGTTGAACTGTCACGAATAAAAAACCCAGCTTCAGTTGTAGATTAGTCAGGCTAATTCAAGTCGTCGCAAAGTGGGCTGACTCCCTGAATGTGCTCATCCGCTATGTACTGCGAGTGTGCTTTCTTCATGTGGACGCCATCATATGTATTCTGCCTACTATTTGGATTGAAGTGTTTCTGCAGATGGATAGCAAGAACTCTGGAATCTAGAGCCATGGATGTATATTATGTTTCGGACACACGCATACAAGACCCGAGTGTGGTCATTCACTTGACCTCACCCGGTCAACAAGGTGAATCTGCAAAAATCACTTTAAGGGTGTCGAGAGACCCCTCAGCTAGCTCGCGAGGACTTGCATGAGAAGTGATAAAACTAAGTGTTAGGGTGGAAAAATCACTTCTTGACTGGATCCCAGTAGATAGTCGTATGTATGCTGTCCGTCTCAACGGGTTTGTTAAAAGAAGGAAAGACTGCGCTACCTGTTGTTGCCTTTTCCGTAGTAACCGCTTACGCCCCAACAGACTGCAGTTCGGATGAATTAAAAGGTGACTTCTACCTGAAACTGTCTTATTTGCTTCAAAAAGCAAAAACGTTCAGACATAGTTGTTTTAGCAGGCGACTTCAATGCCAAAGTAGGGAAGTTGTGCCAGACTGAGATGTAGATGGTACGTATGGAGTTCCCTGCCGACGAACTGACAACGGTGATCGTCTTCTTCAGTTTTGCTCAGATAATCATCTGTTCTTAGTCGGCACTAACTATAGGCACAAAGAAAGACATTGTGTAACCTGGCGACCTCCATCACCAAATCAGCGCTGGACTGAGATAGAACACATAGTCATAGGGTATCGTTGGCGAGGGTCAATAGAAGACTGTCACTTCTTCTGGAACACGTGCGTAGACCCTGGTTCGCGCACGTTTATGCTTACGACTAAATGGACATAAAAAATTGATGGCATCGAAACAGTTACGTCCTCAACTAGATCGAGACAGTGAGTTCCCATTTAAAGAAGAAATAGCGAAACGAGTTTCTGAGGTCGACATCAGGACTTCCCCTGAGGTAGCCTGGCACAACATACAGTTAGCTGTAGACACAGCTGTGAAAGCTGTTAACAAGCTAAAACCTAAAGTTAATAAAAGCCATTGGATCTCTACCGCCTCATCTGAACTGATTGACGCAAGAAGACTGATTCCAGCGAGCTCCGATTATGATGAGGAGCGAAAGATACTTAAACGAAGACTGACAAAAAGTCTTCGCAACGACCATGAACAGTGGTGGGCGACAAAAGCGGAAGAGATGGAAAAAGCACCGGCGATAGGCAACACCAGACATTTATTCAGCCTTATCAGAGAAACAGGTGGTAAAAGGCAAATGATAAGCGAAACAATCTCCGAGAAAAATGGCACCATAATTAGCTCCCAGGATAGACGACTGGAACGCTGGAAAGAACACTATGAGGAGCAGTTTAATCGGCCTACAGCCACACTTAACCTGCCGAAAATCCAAAACCTCCCTGAATGGGATATAGACACAGGTCCTCCGTCCTTAACTGAGGTTACTTAAGCTGTCACTAATCTGAAGCAAGGCAAAGCAGCGGGACCTGATGAAATGATTCCAGAGGTATTTAAGTACGGTGGAGACAGTTTACTGTCTGCCTTAACTGAGGTTCTAGGCAGCGTCTGGGAATCAGAGAAAGTCCCATCGGGTTGGTGTAAGTCACTGATCATCCCGACATACAAGAAGGGAGACAAGTCTCCTTGTGATAATCACAGAGGGATTAGCTTGACTAATATAGTATCTAAAATCCTAGGCTCAATAATACTGCGTAGACTAAGTGGTGCTCGGAAGGCACAAACACGAGAAAACCAGGCAGATTTTAGGCCAGGAAGAGGGTGCATTGATCATATCTTCACCCTGCGACAGATTCTAGAACATAGGCATTCCTACCGGCGTCCACCATTCATTATTTTTCTTGACCTGAAGGCGGCATTCGATTCTGTCGACCGAGAGATTCTCTGGTGATGCTTGGCTGTAAAGGGAATGCCGAGAAAATGCATTGCACTGATTAAGGCACTCTACTCGAACTCATGCAGCCAGGTGAGGGCTTACGGCGAGTTGTCATCTGTAGTGGTGACGACTAGTGGCGTCCGTCAAGTATCCCCATTATCTCCATTTTTATTCAACTTCATCGTAGATGTAGTAATGAACTTAACCCTAACTCACTTCAGAGACTCAGGGATTGACTTGCTACCACGGAATAATCTCCCTGACTTAGGATATGCAGACGATAAAGTCCTTCTAGGTGAGGACGCTGACAAAATGCAGAGTCTTCTGAACACCTTGAGCGACAATCTTCGCATGTTTGGCATGCGATTCGCTCCCTGTAAAATGTAAGATGACGTTGCAGGATCGGACTACACCAACCGCTAGATTAGAAATAGGAAGTGAAGTGGTAGGTCACGCTGATCGCCCCACTTGGAAAGTACCATCAGTCAGTGCTAACGGGTTGATCTCCGACGAAATCTCAGCACGAGTACAGAGGGCTAGTTTCGCTTATACCAGTTTACGCCGTCTCTGCATAGACGTGACATCCGATTATCGACCAAAGAGCGTGTGCACTGCTCAGCGGTCCGCTCCGTCCTCTTTTATGGCTGTGAGACCTGGCCATTGAGAGTGGAAGACATGAAAAGATTAGCTGTCTTTGATCATAGGTGTCTGCGTTTTATCTCCCGCGTGAAGTGGTATAATAAGGTGAGCAACACTGAGGTTAGACGTCAAGTGCTGGGTAAGGAGGGGAAATCAGTCGACGAGACTGTGAAATTACATCGACTGAGATGGTTAGAATACGTGTTACGTATGCCTAGTCATCGCCTTCCTTAACGGGCGATGTTAGCTTATATAGGGTCAGCCTGGAAAAGAGCAAGCGGCCGACAAACCAAAACATGCCTACACCAGTCAATGAAATCTACAACAGTTAGTCTAAGCCACGTAGGAAGGTGTAGACTGGCTTCCTGACTGTTTGGGGTCCTCGAGACGGTAAAATCAATGGCTGGAAGCAATTGGTGACATGGCTCAAAATCGTTCACAATGGCGCAGATGCATCCACTCCTTGTGACTTATGATTTCCAATTAAACTGTTTTGTTCTGCTTTATTACTATACCTTTGTCTGACACCTCTGTTTAATGTCTTTATTATGCATTTCTCCTCTTGCTTTGTGTGCTACATGGAGTGTGGCGATTTGAACTGCCGCACATATGTGCAAAGTTCTATGTCAAAAACAGACAGACAGCAGATCGATAGATTTCATTGCACCTATCAGATTGCACTGATTGATTATTTGAATCATCCGATATTATGAGAGGTTGTTTCACTCACCAATCACAACACTCACAGTTTCCCATAAATGTGACTGCTTGTTGTGGTATAAATAAGGGTACGGAAAGTCAGTTGCCATAAGAAGATGGTCTACTTTGCATACAGCCATATAGCTTTCGTCACTCTGTTGACATTTGCAACTGTAAAAGCAGGTAAGCATTTTTTCAAGAGGTGGTATATTTGTAGCTTATTTCCGCACGACGTGTTTGCCTTATTCACTGGAACTGCTGAATAGTTTGCTAGTTACTCTCATGGGTCATTCTCTCTGGTTGAGCCTTTATTCCAAAATGGTCAGTTTTGTGTATGCTCTCACCTCAAATTCATCTTGGTTAGTACATGGTGACCAGCAGCATAACCACCGAGACGTCTTTCAACTCAGTTCTGATTCAGAAACTGTGTATATTAACACTTTCACAGTGACACGTTATCGCATTTCGATAATGTGTCAGTCTAAAATTTCCTAAGATTTAAATAGCTTGAATACACACTTTGTGATGATGATTTGTTTATGGACTGCAATTATATACATAAAGTGCTCAAAAGGAGTTTGATGCATTTCAAGTGGAGAAATTGTTCTACTAATTTTCAGCATTGTAAAACTTCTCCTCTGTATAATAACAGTCGTTTGCATTTCTTCTTGTGAATTCAAGATCAACCGTGGAGTAAACAGAGAATCACAGATATGCTTTCTATTACCAACAGTAAGCACATTTTCAATGCGTTTTATTTGATTTTATCATTCCACTTGAGAATTCATCGACTTGCATTCAGTGATCTTACTTCCTATTTGACAATTCATACAAAATATTCTCGTTTCCCCACAGACAATATACACGGAGTCAAGCCGGTGCTGGATGATGCAGAAAAGGCAGTACAAATTCTTAAAGGTGAGTAAGACATGATGCCGTATTTTTGACAATTCATAAACGCTTACGAAAATATGCCATGAATTATGCTTTCGAATTTATTACTATGATGACATCAATATTTCATTTCGTCCTCTATGTAGCAGATAGTAACTGAAATGAAATACACAACTCCACATGCTTTAAACATTCAACGCTTTCGCTTTTCTGTTTTCTTAGACAAGATTCTCAGTCAAAATGCAAGCTTACAAGGCGATTTAGAAAAGTGTAAGCAAGTTGAGTTTTTTGAAATGATGGAGGATCTGTTTTAGATATGAACTGCCTGAGAACTGCATACAAATACATTTGGGGACAGGAAGCAATAAACAGTGCGTTCTACAAAATTCTTTTCATTCGAAATATCATTTTATTCATGAAATTTGTTCACTACATTGACTCTTCATTTGATAAATCTGAAGTCAGTTTCGTGATACACTCCCTGTTGATGATTTGCTTTCTCACTCACTGATCATTTCATTAATTAACGCTTATGCAACTGCCATGAGATGCATGTTTGAAATTTTGTACACTGAAAACTGATCTGAGATGCTGAAAATACATAAGCATGTTTCTATCTTTCCTAGGGATTGCAGTCCGTCTAGCCAGAAGTAAGATGAATGTTGTGAATCATTTCTGTACTTACTTACCGTCATAATTATCCGATTGTATTCATCTTTAACATGCATAAATGTGTATTATATTGAGAAGAACAGAAATTGGTTGATATGTGTGACAATCATTTATTTACAGCAGGTCAATTAATGTACGAAGACACGGTGGAGTGTTGCCAAAAAATAACTTTAGAATATTATTGTAAGTTGCATTTTATTGTTTCGTCTGTGTGGGGTAACGATTTTCGAAATGCCAGTTTCCATACATCTATTACAAATCTGAGTTAATAATCAAACTGTACTTTATCCTTACTCACCCATGATTAGATAAGACGGAGGAGTTTCCTATAGAAAATTGTTTCAAAAATATGCCTTCAGCGCCCCATGAAGGTATTCGTTTGTTTCTTTTTTTTTACATTCTTGATGAAATGAGTAACATTTTCACATTCATCCACGATGAAGGTATATTTCCACATGTCACAATACTTTCATCATGATCTGAATTCATGAACATCCACCTCTCAGTGTACGATAGTCTGTGATGAGAATTTACCATGAGTCAGGTAATAATGTCTGAAGGAGGATGAACAAGTTTGGTGTTCAGAATGCTTTTGGGCGTCTACAAATGCAACTGTTGAGATAATGTGATTGTGAATAGAAATACACACAAAAAAAGACTATTTGTTGAACGTGAAACTGATCCAGTACTAATATAACGACGACATGATGACTGAATTTTGAAAGTTGTGCATTCTTAACATAATGCAAGTGGATTAGTTTGTAGAGTAGTCAGCTGGTTGAATCTGTGCGCAACAAACAGATTGTTTTGCATCATTTCATGTCGCATAATTTCGAGTTTCAACGTCGTTTTATGATTGTGAGATATTCACTCTGCAAGATATTCATTCATGAATCATTTCAGATCTGCATCAAATGAATTTGTTAACCCGAACACTATTCGACCACAAGCACTGGGTTAGCATTGAAGTTTGTGAGTTCATTTTCTCCGTTTGATTAAACTTCACAATTGAACATTTCTGTGAGAAAATAGTGTAACGGTTGTGATTTTGTTGCGCGGATAGTCAGTGTCTATCTAATTTTAGTTATCAGACAAACGTACTGATGGACAATAGATCTTTTCACTGGTCGATTCAAATATTTATCAACCTTTCTTATCATTTCTAGTTTTCAAGCATCTATACGAAACCCAATTGAAGGAGTTGGCAGGTGAGATTTATTTTACATCATATTTACACATTATAGGATACGAAGGTCTGTTATCGGGTTAGTGACTAGAATGTGAAACGCACGAAATGTTAGTCAGTCTGGATGGAGGATGATGAGTGGGCAAAGAACAACACAGGATGCAGAAATTCACCACAACAATTAGATAATATTTTTCATCGTCGACTATTCTACTATCTCTCGGTTCACATATTGTTTATTGAACTTGTGGTTCAAATGACAGCCTCGAATACTCCTGTTTAATCGAATGGTGAAATCATCATGAGTGTTGTTGTAGGTTACCGTAATCACATTCATCAATGATCAGTATCGTAGTGGATCACAATAGATGGTATGGTGAATGTATGACAATACACACGCGCATTTCAAAAATGCAAGCATGCTGGTGAAACTCACAACGCCCATAGTGAATTATTGAAATGTAACAACTCAAATACCGCGAAAAATGATGGATATGGATACCATCACTCGCTGGAAATGTTAGGAATTTTGACATTGTATGAATTAGCACACACGTCAACAGCAATCATCCTTCTCTCCAGTATATGTCTTTTTTTTAATATTTCACCAGTAATATTTCATCCAATAATATTGCTAACTGATTTCATTCTCATACAGGCTATTGAAGAGAAGTACCAGGATGAATATCCAAGTTGGCGTAACACTGGATACATGCAGATTGTAAACGTTTTCGTAAATAATTGTTTCATTTCCAATTAAATAAATTAAATAAATCACTTATGTGCTACACCACCTTCTTTCCATGAACTCAAACTTGATTCAACTGGTGTGTGTGTGACCCAGTGTGGTTAAAATTCTAATTCACAATGGGTTGTCGTTGTCGGGAATGTGGTAATGTGAGATTAGTCATCAGGTGGCTGTTAGGAGATTGAATCTCTTCAGAAGAGTGTGCTTCAAAGGCTTCTGAGTGTGTGCTATTCATACACATGAGCTCTGTGGTAGATGTAATCAAACCTACTGTTTTATTGACAAACAATGGTGTGAAAACATATACGCGTCACCAACTTCATTTATTCATACTGAAGTTAGGTGAACTAACCAATTTACCTTCAATTTTCACTGCTCTCGTCAACAGATTTTACACACCATCTGAAATCCTATTGCCACCCGAATTTATTAGCTGATCATGCTGAAAATTGGATATTTCTACAAAAAAGGCTGTTTGGTATAGAGCTGTTGATTTCAGCATTGCTTAAGTTAGATTATTTCTATAGTACAATTATTAGAATGAGTTATAGATGTTCATGGGAGACACAACGCGTGATGCTGTCCTCAAATAACACAAATATTTCCTCGTTCTATAAACAGTTATGCGTCAGCATAATCCTTCTTATTTTAGGTTGTTTAATGAATTTACTAATCACTATTCAAATAGCACACTTGCCCTCAGCATTCTTTATCATTAGTTGATGTGTGTTAAATAACACAGATATTTCTTCAATCAGTAATTCATTGCGCGTCTGCGCAATCCTCTATAATCAATATTCAGCTAGCACATTGGTTTCTGATGACTTTCATTCGATGACTTTTAGCAATGAACTGATGCGATTAGTTGAACGAGAATTGTGGGTTCTGCTTTCTAGTATTTGCTCTCAGGTACACTTGGGTGTTGTGCTTTGATGGTGGACGTTGAGTGGAGTGGAGAACACTTTTCTAAACTAGTCGCTTATCGACTAACATTAAGATGGCGTAGCGTGATCGACGCATTTTCTAGGAATCCCAGTAATAATAATTATACTGAGAGTAATTTCAAAATACAAAAATAATTATACTTCTCATCACTGATATGTGTATTCCAGGTGGAACATCAAGGTTAAAGAGCACATCTCCATTTCAAACCTATAGTTACAGTCCCTTCTAACTAAAATTAATAGTAATAATGATAAAAATCGATTGATATCAAACAAAATGAGTTCCTAGCGTGTTCTAAAATATTCCATCCCATTTCCTCGTTACATGACTCATCAAATGTGAATGTACATACTACGATGTTGATATTATCAGCAATGGGAAAATAAATCGAAAATTAACACATATGCTGACAGGAATATATTTAGGATAGTTGAAATAAACGCAAAGCGTTTATTTCTTGAAAGCATTCGCAGAACATCAGCAGCTCCATGTCTAACACATCTCTCGTCTCTCACATGATATTCCAGTCAAATAAGCTTTCATCGAACTATTATATTATGTCGTCTGAAAATAGAGTCTATTGCAGTTGCTTGTATTACCACATGAAGAGATGCAACAGGATATCTGTAAAATGAGGAGAGAGCTGTGATTCTGGCAAGAGGATATTCGCCAATTTCTAGCAAGAATTGAAGCGCCTGCCCGAAACAATATTACAGCGTGTACGTACAGTAAGATGCGTCAGTAGCAAGGCGATAGAAAGCTCGCTGACCACGCATGTGGTCCGGGGTTAGATGCCTGCCCACTGACACACTCAATGACTCCGCTAAGCCAGTAATAAGACTGGTCAAGAGGGAAGTTTGAGCAGGAGGCTAGCAACCTCATCCTGTAAAAATAACCACACTGCTATAGAAACTTGAAACCTCTATCTTGAAGCCTGTGTTCTATTGGGAACTTAAAGGAATAAAAAAATGCATAGGAAGGCTACACACGCTGCCTAGGGCTTTGGATGCCCCTTACTTTGTCACAAAGTCATAGTCAAGCAGTGGTGGAGAGATCGAATAAGAGCAATGCATAAGGTTAGGACGTCAGTATACAAGAGTGAACATTTTCATGTTCTTTGGATTGAATTGGATTTTGTCATTGTAATTTTGATTGTCAGTTAGAAGTGACTGTAGAGATAGGCATTAAATGCAGAAGTGCTCCTTAATCTTGATGTTCCACCTGGAACACATATCAATAGTGAGAAGTGAAATTATATTTTCCATAATTGGTTTGTAAGGATCAGCTTCGTTTTTTCGAGTTGATAACGGATTGACACCAGTTTGAGAAACACTGAAATATAAAGAGCACTTGGATGAAACAGCTATCCAGTACTCCTTAGTATTCAATAGTTCTCTAACTGATGTCAATCCTTGATCGACTCGTTGAATTATATTTGCATTTTTGAAATTACTCTTAGTACTATTATTATTGCTGAGATCCATCGAAAACGTGTTGATCGCGCTACGCCATCGCTATTTTAGTCGATATGAGATTGGTTGGGAAAAGTGCTCCTCACTCAACTTGGCGACTGTCACCGAAACACAACACCCATGTGTGATTAAATGTTCATGCTAGAAAGCGGAACCTAGAATTCTCATTCAACGAATCACATCAGTTCATTCCTAAAAGTGATAGAATGAATGAGACAGGCGTGTGTCATCAGAAAACAGTGTGCTAGCTGAATATTGATTAAAGAATAGCGTGCACACGTATGATAAGAATTTGTGTTACTGATGCACAACACATATAGAATGCTTAGTACAAGTGTGTTAGTTGAATAGTGCTTAGAAAAGATTATGAGAAGTATACAAATGAGGTGATTTTGGCAACGCGTAATTGTTTACAGAATGAAGAAATATTTGTGTTGTTTGAGGTCAACATCACGCGTTGTATGTCTTATTTATAATTATTACTATCTCTTATAATTTTACTTCAGAAATAATCTAATTATAACAATGATGAAATTGACAGCTTTATGGCAAAGTGTATTTTTGGTAGATATATCCAAAATCATCCTGATAAACTCAGAGAACAAAGAGAAGCGATGTGACTTCACATATTGTGTTTAGAATCAATCAGTGATGACAGTGGAAATATGGAGCTTTATTGATCGAACCAAGTATTCTGCTCTCGCATACTGATCCACATCACTTGTCGCACATCAGACAGCTTAACTCAATCATAATTGAAGCGCCTTGTTGACTTCCATAGGTATTATGCATAGCCGCGTAACAACATTCGTCGTGAAGTACATCCTAGGCTTCGATTGACAGCATCACTGTGAATATTATTTCATCCAAACTGTTCACCAGATGGAAGATGAAACATATTTACATCATTTTATCTAATAGGTGTCAATCATGTGAAAGTAAAGCCAATCCAAATTGTAACATGTACCGTGATATTTCGTGAAGCTGTAGGCATTTATGAAATACCAGAATGTGAACAATGTCTGATCGATTTGATTCTATGTATGTTTGATGGTGTCAACTCAACTTCCTAATTAGAGTATAGAACTTGAAATCAGTGTAGATATCGTGTTCATTGGTTGTCATGGGATAACTGCATTCTGGGCATTGCATGTGCAAAGGATTTCATTATGTCTACTCAACTGCAGGATTCGCTTGGCATATCTGATGTCTTATGGGCGAATTCCCATATTGGTGCCATTTCACCATTTGCGTACACTTCAATTCAGCTTATTGATATTTGCTTCTTCTGCTTAGACTGACTAATTCTGTGTGTGCAGGTATCCTGTATTAGGCTCCGATTGATATCATCACTGTTAGCATCATTCCATTGAATCTGTTCAACAGATTTAAGACCAGACAAATTTAAGTGAAGTGATCACATGTCAAATACCCATATGTAAATAATACATGACTAATATGATATTACGTATGTTCGCGGTGTCAATGTTACTTGTCAATCAGACCGTAGACTTTGGAATCCATGCAGATATCATATATATATTTTTTTTTGATTTACAGCTTGATTCCACACCGTATTTTCAGTACAAGTATGGAATTTTCAGCATGGATATCGGTAGCCCAAATTCAGGCCGACCATAGATATCGGGTGTGCGCCGGCAGGGGATCGAACCCTGGACCATGTGCATGGTCGGCGAGAGTCCTAACCACTGTGCCACCGACGCACAGTTCAGTGATGGGCATCTATGCACGGCATTCTTGACATTTCAGTATCCCTCCTGAACTTCAGGCTTCCCTTGATATATCTGATACCACAATGGTTTACTTCCCATACTCTT